GTGCTAGAAGAATTTTGCAGCCTGCCTTCCTCATTAAGACCTTTGGATCTAAACCCCAAATGACCTTGTTCTACTTTATGTCTGTGATAGTTCTCTGTCACTGACAGAAATGCCACTGATTTACTGTAGCCTAAACACTGAAAATTTCCATGTTGAAACAGAATAGTGAAGCAAACTCAAGGCCAAAATGTCCCAAACTTCTGTTTTGGTTTTTACCCAGGTGAGAAAGAGCCACAATTGTCAGAGATACTGTGGCTCTCTTTCAGAAGAAGGTGACATGAAGTTTTACTTCACTGAAAATGTCACCAGCCAGGATTTCCATTATAGCAAACTCTGCGTTTCTCATTGCTTTTTGTTCTCTGATTAGAGTTGCTGATTGCCTGTCTGATCAATTTGGAGGTTCTACAGCTGAGTTATGTTGCAGCCCTGTAGACTCAGGATAGTGAAAAAGGGTGTTCTTCTAAGTGGCATAGTACTTGTTTTTTAACACAAACATGGCCCTGTTAGTGTAAGCAGTCTATTCTTAGATACCTGAACTACCAGACCTGTGTAAGCTTAGCCCCTAGAAAAACCTGCATATCTTAACCAAGGAGATGGATAAATATATTCATGTGTGTATACAAATGTGTGGCTCTTTCTATATGCAATAAGATATATGACATGACCTCTGTGATCTGTATGACATACATGACATTACATGTATCTATGAATACATCTATAGATACCTGTTAATTCCTAGATAAATTTATTAGAAGCTCTGTGAAAAAAGCTCAAAATAAACCTTGCTTATACCATCCCCCACACACACAATGATGGAATCCAGGTGGAGCTGCCTCAGTAAACATGCACAAGTTTTTGTGTCTTAGAAGTGAAATTCCTATGCTTTTCTTCTCAAGACCCACATCTGTCACTGAAATGTTTGTTTTCCCTTTCTCATTTACATATGACTGTTTCAAATTGCTTCCTCTCTTTAAAAATTATATATGAATTCATGTATTTTGATTACGTAATACGAAGATACATGTTATTTATAATGTGCCCAAGAATACAGATTTAAGTTAGTTATTCTTGTACTTTGAAATCCCCAGAATCATAAGCCGTATCCGTAACCTCTTTCCATTCTTTGTAGAAATTAATTCTGACCTAGATATTCTAAATATGAAGTATTTCAGTACAGGTCATTTGTCCATTAGTGCAGAATATGTGTTAAATACTAAGTATTCTATTTTCTGGTGAGGAGAGAGTTTGACCTTGACAACTTCACATTTTATTTGTCCAACTGCTGATAAATGTTAAGATTCAAGTAACCAACATATACAGTATATAAATTTGTGTATGTAATGTATATTTAAGTAAGAAAATGATGAATCAGGAATTCTAAGCATTTCTGTACAGTTTGCCAAATTTTAAATGCCAGTATCCTTGTTTTCCACAATTCAGAAGCTAGATTTTGGAATTTGGAGGATGATACTCAATTCTTGATTCTCTTCAGAAATCTTTTTCATTATATATTATTATATAAAGCTTTGACTTGTATAAATATATAAATATTTGTATACAGATCAATTTTATTTGAACTTTAGCACTGAAGAGCCAAAAGGAAATGAAGCACAAAGTCTCATGAGATAACCATGATTTCCTGTTCCCAGCATAAAGAAATATTATGATGAAAACAGTCCACCCAACTATATTGGAATTTGCAGCTCATTCTTACCATTACTCATTTCTTCTTTCTTTTTTCTTTTTGGTACACGGGACTGAACTGTGGGCCTCAGGCTTTCTAGACAGGTCCTCTACTACTTGAGCCACTCAATCAGCCCTTTTTATGTTGGTTATTTTTGAGATAGGGTTTTGCCCAGGCTGGCCTGGACTACAGTCTTCCTATTTTTGTTTTTCCAATAGCTATGATGACAGGTGCCTGCCACTGCTGCCCAGTTGTTGGTTGAGATGGGGGTCTCACAAACTTTTTGCTTGGTTTGGTCTTGAACTGTGATCCTCCCTAATTCTGCCTGGCAAGTAGCTGGGATTACAGTCTTAACCCACCTCGATCAGCTGTTACTCATTTCTCTAAAGTAGTACCTCATGAACTGCTTGAGTTAATGATCAGGTATTATGTCAGGGAAAAACATATAATATTTCTCTCTTTACGACAGTGTACCTTGTTTGGAAAAAAATTGCTCTTAATTCAGGCTCCCAAAAATTTCATTATTAAAACAAGATAGTTGAGAATGTAAGCATGGGGGTGGGGGCAGGGGGGAGAAATGACCCAAACCTTGTATGCACATATGAATAGTAAAACAATAAAAAAAAATGGAAAGAAAAAAAGAGAGAATGTAAGCATAGAAACTTTTTAACAACTTAGAAATAAATTGTTATAATAACTTGAACTATATTTTTGAACTGCAATTAAAAAATTATATTTAAATTGCTTAAGTTTTAAAGTTAATAAAAATGACTTCTAAATTGCAACTTAAAATTAATGCCTTTTAACATACCAGTAGGTATTTTCAGTTTATATACAGTTTAACAGCCAGGTGATGTAAACCCCAAATTCCAAGACATCTCCTGGTGCCATTTTCAAACAGTTTTGACTTGAAAGAACTTGCTCCCAGTTCTTTATGGCCATTAAAAGGTCTCTTAGAGGTCAAATTAGTTCTAGTGTTCCTCAAAGGGTTCTCATTCTTGGTTGGTTCATCTCCTTCACCACCAAGGTAATTTGTTCCCAAGTCCATCCTGGACTGAACAGGATTTCCAGAGGACTCAGTGTGGCTATAAATCTGAGGTTTGAAGTTTGTAATAGGAAAGGTCCATAGTTACCAGGATAAACAAAGCAGCCTAGACTTTTTATGTTTCTTGTCAATTTACCTAATAGAAAATGTAGCCTTTTGTCTAAATTGTGTGTGTGTATGTGTCTGCCCTGTTTAAGACAATTATTTTGCCTATAAATGCCTTCTAGCAGTGGGTTAGCCAGACAGAAATTTATGGGAAGAATATATGTATTATATGTGAGTGATAGGTAGAGATGGGAAACAAAAAATGCTGCAGAGAAGGCAGAAAGATGAGAAAGCAAGCCTGGAGGTGAGTTGTTTGAGAGTCTAGACCCTGGAGTTGTAATGCATGTGTGATTTCTAGAGAGCCAGTGCAGAACTGGAGACCAGTAAATAGCACAGAATGTCAGCAGCTTGGTGGGAGGCAGCCTCCCCTGAACTTGAGAACCAGCGGGCCTAGAAAGAAGGTATCCTGAGGTAATGAGAAGGAGACTTTCACCTGGGGTGGGTGGGTATCGGGACTATGGCACCAAGAACTCAAGAGAAATACGATGATATGCAGACCCTGTGTGTGAGGCCAGGTCAGCCTGCACTGAACAGTAGGATGGTGTACACAGAACTTACTAGCTTTTATGTAGTAAAACCTTGAGAACAATAGGAAATGTAGTTCAGGAACTTTTAACCAATGAAGAATGTGTTGTGTGAATTTGCAAAGATGAAAAAACCATTACACACTTACAGTTTGTAAAGAGAAACAGCAGCAACTAACCATCAGGCCACCAAAACCCATTTTCATTACCCACAAAGCAAATTGAGGGAGTCTCAACTCTAGTCACTGAGGACTACTTATCCTCTGGCCATAGTTCTTGGAGCTCCAGGAGATGGTTTACTTCCCTATATGCTAATACTCCAAGAGCAGTCACCTTAGGATTTGAGAACTTTATGTGACCTGCATAGATTCTTGGTGTTCTTAACATCCTGTTAGTTAATGTTTTCAGGACGCTAAAGGCCCTACAGCATATGGTGGCCAAAGTGGCATTCCAGTTCATTATTTCCTCAGTGGCGGGAGATTAGAATCCACCTGCAGGTCCTCCCCGCAATAAAGAGCAGTGTTAGAATTTCCCTGTTATGTCCATAAACAGAGGCACCATCACTAACACCTGGGAAGGCCCTCCTGTCCACAGGCAGTGGCACTACCTCAGACTTGAGACAAAGTAAGATTTGGGGAGATTGGTTTGAAAACCTCAACTGCCTAGACCAACACTGTAAGTGAGCATTTACCAGATGCTGATTATGGACTGGAAAGCTCAACAGGAAGCAGATGCCACGGCAGATACACCTGGGGAAACATAATATTCTAGACTCTTCTTAGAGTGCCACAAAGGACACAAACCTATGAAAGGCTCCAAGAAACTCTTTGATAAGGATACTTGTTTCAGTGTGTCTCACTCACTGTGGCCCCCATCTCATTTGACTTTGGATCTCTATTTCCTTGAATACTTACAAACATTCATGGACTTCACTGTTAAAAGGATCAGGTTCAAAGAGGCATATGCTGAGAAGGGGACATGGACTGACAGAGGAAGACTGAAAACAAATTTTGTTCACCTTTGTAGTTCAAGCTAAGAACTTTTTGTCTGTGCTGTGTGGCCTGCTTTTGTCAGCTTACCTTTCAGTATTACTTGTAAAGCCTTTGTAATTGACTATGTCCTGGGAGACTTGATCAAACTCTTGCATTAGCTGTTAGCTTTGGAATTGAAGGGTAATCATATTGCCTAATTGTGAGCAAACCAACTTTATTTAGACAATATTCCAAGGGAGAGCGTTTCTTTTTAACTCTAGAAAAACATTTGCCAAAGATTCTCAGGTTACCAAGTTATTTTGGGCTTGAATCATCTGTAAAGATATTATAATTTTATGTACTTGATTGCTTTAAGAATTTAATTCTCCTGAGATTTTGTTGACTATATTACTAAGCTGGTTTTTTTTTTAACAGCCCAGTTAAAATGGGCTTCTTCTAGCACAGTTCCTGTTATATCTGAGCCAATGGCAAATCATTGAGTTGAAAGCACACACATTGAGAAAGTTTCTCAAACACTATTTATTCCTAAGAATAGAGGCATTTAAAGCCACTGCTGGTGAGTCTTCTTCCTCAACTTCATCTCCCCCCGACAAAAAAAAAGTTTTTAAAATTTCTGCATAATGGTTAATATGACTTGTTTTCATCCACAGAGGCCAGCAAGCTTGTTATGTCTTATGTGGCAGCTGTTTGTGGAAAAGGAGCAGAAGTTAACCAAGTCAAGGAACAGCTTTTGCAGTCCAATCCAGTCCTGGAAGGTAGGATTTTGTGTCTATTAGGTCAGTGTAACTCAAAAAGTAGATTGAGTTTTCAAGGAGCCTCAAGAACACTGGGAGGTGTTCTGGGAGGGAAGAGGAAAGGAGAGATTCAGGCTAAAACCTGTTGAGGACATAAGCTATATTTCAGAAACCCTTGGTTTTAATGTGCTTATAAGAGAGAACAGTATACAGATGGAAAAGGAACTTACCCACTCTTTTCCCATTCAGTTTAAATAAAAATCTAAAAATTATTTAGATTATGCTTTTAAAAAATCAGATGATACTGCATTTGATGGTGTAGTGCTATTTTATTATTCAGGATAATATCTGTGGCTGGTTACTTCCATTGTCAAGGAAACCAGCACCATACCAGAGAAGCATGGAGGACCAGTTTCTTCAGGGCCATAGAAAGCCTTGACCTGACCTTGAGCTCACAAAATCTGTGGTTAGCTCTTTGTGTTAGCCAGCATAGGCTGCAATAACAAGAATACCATAGATGGGATGGTTTAAACTGCAGAAAATGTATTTCCTTACATGTCTGGAAGCTGGACGTTTAAGAGCATGGTTTAGTGATGCATATTTCATTCTGAGGCCTCCTTTTGGCTTATAGGTGGCTGCCACTTTGCTGTGTGCTTATATGATCACTTTGTGTGTGCATTGGGACAGAACATGAGTGAGCTCTGTGATTTCTTTTCTTACAAGGGCACTAATCCCATCATGATGGCCCTACCCTCCTGACATCGTATAGCCCTAAACACTTCCTAAAAGCCCCATCTCCCAGCACAATCCTACTTGAGGTTAGAGCTCCAACATATGAATGGAGGGTGAGGAGTAAACAAAACACTTAGCCATGACACTATCAGAAAATGAAGCCATGGGTGAGTTCTCTTAATTCCATGGGAGTATCATAGCATGCACAATTGTTGAAAACTATCCTTACAAATGCAAACACTAGACCAAAGCCTTTCCCTGTGGATGGGAAGCTATTAAATTTGCTTCATATTATAAACATGTCTTTAATGTCATTTAACATTCTTGTTGGGGAAGAGCAGGGTTTCTCAATGTTGGCTGTATTGGACCGGATACAATTTTGCTCTGAGGGTTGTTCTGGGCATTGCAGAATGGCCTGTCCTGTGCATCTCTGGTCATACTCATTAGGTACACTTTGCACCCTTGCCTCTAGTTTTTGGGATCAAAAATGTCTCTAGACATTGCTAGATATCTCCTGGGGAGTCAAAGCTACACTTCATTAGAATGTCTGGGCTAGAGAAGTAGTTGGGTTCAACCACTTGTTGAAAAGTCATAGAAGGACTTGATTTAACTTGGATTGAAGCAGAGCTGTTCTGGGTGTAGATGTGCATCTTACCTGGTGTGGAGGGACAGAAGCCTGCCCAGTTGAGTTTTATATTTAGGCTCTGCTGCTTCTTCCCTTTCCGAGATGCTCCTGAGCCTTGGTCATTCCCTTTGACCCTGTGAGACACACTTTTGTGCTTCCATTTTTTCATTTTATTATATGGAGATGCCAGGTATTTCATTAGCCAGGTGGAAGAATAAGAGAGACACAGAGGCCAGATTGTATATTATGTTGTCTTTGATCTTTTCTTCCCCTGAGTAACTTAACTAATAAGGAAGTTATATAAAGTGGCCTCTCTTCATTTTATTGTTCCAAAATTTGACTTGGTGTTTACTGTCTTTTGCTTTTAAGTTAGGGTGCTCTCCATGTGTTGTATTTCCGCATATTCTTATTTTAAGAATGCTGTGATCTAAAGGAGCAATGCTGTGGAATGCTGTAGCTTGCATCTGTGACTAGAATCTGGCTTTTTATTCTACAGTATTTGAAACTAGGCTATAGTGCAGGAAATGGGAGAAATGTCCACTGTGGGCTGTATTATCTTTTATGGGAAGGCTTTGCTTTTTAACTGGAGCTGCTACTGTAAATGAACACTTAGAACAATGAACTTAAAAAAACCAATTGAGGAATGTGTCTCGAGTGTTCTATAATAGAACACTTGTTTTTGATTCCATGGCTCACAATAAAAGACTTCAGTGTTCAGGGTTGTGTTTAGTAATATGCAACTTAGATTTGCTTCATGAAAAGATGGTTTATGGTTTGCAAATGGTGCCCTGATCAAGTTTTTTTGAAGCATTTTCTTCACTTGCCCCTGTCCTTCAGTCCACAATAAACTGTCCTTTATACATCAGCATCTCCAGCTGGACTTTGGGCTGTGCTAGTTGATTAACTTGGCTGCCCTGTATTTCACACCCTCCACAAAGGACTAGCCTATGAATATATGAGAAATGTTTCAGTCTTCATGATAACTAGGTCAGCGTCCACCATTATCAAGGTTGCATTCATGAAGGCCATTGGCTGGCAGTGGACATGGGATAAGGATGGAATCTTTCCCAGCATGCTTGTTTTTTGTTTTTGTTTTTGTTTTTTTTAATATTTTCAGTGTTCAGGTTTCGTCACTCTGCACAACATCCCATCCTATTTTCTGTGTAAGAAAAGAATTTGGTGTCAGTATCATCATACCTGACCCAAGCAGCATCTCGAATGCAAGGAACTATTCCTGTGTTGACTTTGCAGAATTTGTCTTAACTGATCTTGAGCCAACTCCTCCTTTTAAAACAAAAACATAAAACACCCACCTAATGTGAAATATAACATACCAGGTTTAGCTTCTGAATAGCCAAAGTTAACTTTTACTTAATCACACTGCCTCACTCCTTGATCAGGTAACTGCTTTCAAAACTAAGACCTCTTGTGCTTATTTGAGTACTTGTCACTCTAATTCTCTGCTTCCTGTTTCACTTGAAGAAGTTATGGAGTCTTCTAGAGATTTGACACCCAGCCTCTTTTTCCAAAAATTCATTTTTGTTTGCCATATCATCATGCACTCCTTGCCAGCTGCAGTGTAGCTCTGGGGTCCCAGTAACAGCCCAGGGTGGCAAGGAAATGTTGAATCTCCTATCCCTCCTCAACCCCACTGAATCTGAGCCTGCTCTTCTAACAAGATCTTCAGGTGACTGGTTCACACATTAAAGTTTGCTGGGCTTCCAGAGCATTAAACAAGGATCCCCTCTACCTCTGACTTAAGTTTATACTACTTAATCATCTGCTACCATTTGCCAGTATTATTTTGCCCCTATTTTGTGCACAGGCTTGGTGAAACAGTCCTTTTTCTTTGTAACTCTGTGCTCTCATCTGTGTTAAACAGGAGCATTGTGAACCTATGGCATTCTCACCACGTGATTCTCAAGGGCCCTCCCCATGAGAGTTCCATGGGGGGATTTGTCTCCCCAAGCAACTAAGATGGGAGCAGGCTTACATTTTATATTATGAGTCAACTTGGCTTTGTTGTCCAGAAAGTTTCACTTAAGTCTGATGGGCATGAACTAATGACACTATGTAGCATTTTTATCCTGTTGGAACTGACTGTCAGTATTATACACTTTCTGTATTTTAGAGTTATGTAATCATTTAAATAAATAGCTTTATTTTAAAACTATTAAGCAGTTTAAAGTTTCCCTTGCTCTCTTCTCTGTTCTGGAAACCCCATTCAATTCCATCAAACTTTTGATAATATTTCAGAAACTTCTGAAATATCCTTATTCACTTACTTGGTATCCACTTATTGACTCCTATCTAAAGCTGTGGAATTAGGTATGCTTGCAAGAATTCCATGAATCACAGGAATGACTCTTGCTCTTTTTCTGTGAATTTATGATAAGGCATGGAAGCTTTAACAACTTATTAAAACTTCTGTTGAATATATTTCTGTGGAAATTTTGGATAGATATGTCATTGCCTCAAGTTGCATTTGTCAGGAATTATAGATGTTAAATACTATATTTGCTTTATTTTTATTCTGTCAACTCTAACTATGCATCTGTTTCTTTCTTACTAGCTTTTGGAAATGCCAAAACTGTAAGGAATGACAACTCCTCTAGATTTGTAAGTATTTGTATAAGCTTAAGTATTAACATTAATATTTAGTTCATGTATTTTTAAAAAACCAATACAGTAGATGTTTAATATTTCTTTTTCTTTCTCTTTTTTTTCCCAGTACTGGGGCTTGAACTCAGGGCCTTCACCTTGAGCCACTCCACCAGCCCTATTTTTGTGAAGGGTTTTTTGAGATAAGAGTCTCTCGAACTATTTGCCTGGGCTGGCTTCAACTGTGATCCTCCTGATCTCTGCCTCCTGAGTAGCTAGGATTAGAGGCATGAGCCACCAGCACACGTCATTAATATTTATTAGTACACACATTTTTTTTTAAATCAGAAAGGCATCATCCCTGTTGAGGCACTGAATGTTCTATAAGAACTATTTGGTGGTGGTTGTTGTTATCTGGGATTTTCCTTTATAATTCTGCTTGAAGCGGCAGACTGTTTTTGTCATGTTTTCTTCAGTCATAAAATTCTATATGTAATTTAAATGAGGCTACTTAGAATAGTTTGTTGCTTATCTGAGCTTTGGTGTTTCACAATCATAATTAATAATCAGAAATTAAGTAAAAATAAAGATAAAGTGTCAAATTTGTCAGCTTTGTCTTTTATTTGGTGGGTCCAGAAAGGAGGGAATGTATTCTAAATCTTTGCAGAGGTAAAATCAGTAGGATTGGGAAAAAAATGCAAGGGCTTGGGTTGAGGGTGAGAGAGTAGAATTGCTTAGTAAAAACTGAAGCTCACTGATGTCTTGCTTTGGTTGAACTGGAAAATGTTACTTCCAGCAGAGAAACTTGATCCACCTTTCCAGCCTCATCTCCTGTCACACTCTAGCCAATGCCCCGTGCATTTGCATGTATGTGCTCCTCCAACTGTGCCATGCACCTTCCTGTCTCTAATCTTCACCAAGACACAAATACTACCTGAACATTGGGGCAAATGTGTTTGAGTGGCATTTTGAAACTGTTTTTTTCTTCTGTGGTTTAACCAAGCTCATATATATATTTTTTTAATATTAAAAGATCATTTACCTTATGGGACCATTTTTGATGATCTTTTATGCTTGTCTACCAAAGACCTTTTCTGATTTTTCTCCCCCTCATTTTTAGATCCCCTTTTACTTTTCCGTATTAGGGGAGTATTCAGTGCTTGAGGACAAGAATGACCTCAGATGGAGGTAGTTTCATAGCTTAGAAAATGGAAGGCTAAATAAGTTCCTAATTCCAAAACTCTGAATTTTTTCCATCGGATTAGTCCGTTAAGTTGCTCTGATTGATTTGATCCGTGGCCTGTTCCTGTGTGGTAATAATGGCTAATCTCGTTGTATAAACAGAATTAGAAATGAAATGTGGGCAGGTAGAAGTAAGCTTCTTGATGTGATAGAAATTTTGTTTTGTTTGCAAATTATGTGCACATGCTTTAAAAATACTTACAAATATATTTAATCTGGAGGCAGTACAAATGCAGAAAATCATGTTGCTTAAAAGATCATTACTACCTAGTGATATTGGAAGGCTAGTGAAAGACTGACAGGTGATTTAGCTGATTAAGTAGCTTCAGAGAAATCCTCTTATAACATGAGTATTAGGATATGAGATTAACACTTGATCATTTCATGCCCGGTTTTTAGTAATTTCTCTGCCTTGTTGTCTGTGACTGGACTAATAATACACCCAAGTACATGTTGTAATTTTACAGTGGGACTCCTGTACTTAAAGCTGCTACTGAAACAGTCGTTTATGTAGTATACATTTGTACTCAGAGAAATTACAGTTCTTTCAGTTATGTTTGGTGAGTCTAGAATGAATTTATTCATCTGCTCCCTGAGGAATCTGATAGATCTGTATTAACTATAATACAGGCTGACCATAGCTGACACTTGTGACCTGTGGGCCCAGGCTGGTGCCTCATAGTCTCATCCTTTCTACCCCAGTATTGAACTTTTTTTTTTTTTAAGAAAGGGACTTAACTGTCTTTCAAAAAAAATATTAAGTTTTCAATATTGCTGCTCTTGTTTGACTAAGGCTTTCTGAGAGTGGGTAATGCATCTACTACTATGTGCAAAGTGCTGACCCAGGCACTGGAAAGTGTACAGAGAACCTGTGGGGTTATGAAAATGTGATTAGCCAACCTCTTATTTAGTAAGTATTTAAAAATGAAACAAATTTTTGTTCATTTGTTTAAAGACTGATTTAAGCATAGGTTTCCCTGCACCTCCCATTCTGGTCTGTAGTCTTTCCTTACCAGCAGCTAGAGTGACCTTTACAGACTTAAGTTCTATAAGTGCCTTGCTGGGGGGCCTCCATAGTGCCCTCTGCTCCTAGAATACAATATAGGCTCCTTCCAGGGCTGCCCAGGTCCTAGACTTAAGTTCTATAAGTGCCTTGCTGGGGGGCCTCCATAGTGCTCTCTGCTCCTAGAATACAATATAGGCTCCTTCCAGGGCTGCCCAGGTCCTAGACTTAAGTTCTATAAGTGCCTTGCTGGGGGGCCTCCATAGTGCTCTCTGCTCCTAGAATACAATATAGGCTCCTTCCAGGGCTGCCCAGGTCCTTCATGAGCTGGGCCTGGTCTGGAGGAACCTGTCTGTTCCGTGCCCTCTTTCACTCTGCTTAGTTACTTTTGCCTTCATGACCCTCAGGTATAGCACATGCTTCTTGGCCTCAGGCCTTTGTGGTTGTGCTTCCTTCTGCATGATATGCTCTGTCCCCAGACCTATGCATGGCTAGCAGCATCTTGTATTATTTATGACCAAGTGTCAGTTCCATGGAACCTTTCATAGACTCTATGACTTAATCCTGTTTTTATTTTCTTAAAGATGTTTGCTAGTCTCTGGAATTGCTGTATTCACTTAACTCACCTATGTGATCATTGACCTAAAACAGTAGGGACCATGGGAACAAATACCCCGACCTTCCTAAGGACCACAATGGCCTTAATAGCTAGACCAATGCCTGGCACCATAATAAATACAAAATATTTATTGATGAATGAATACCTAATCTTATAGGCTAGCTAGAAAAATTGAACATATCTGAAAATAATTTTGACACAACACATAAAACAGTAAGTTTCCCTAAAGGTACAGGTGATGTTTTATGGACATTCAGTGAGGAGAAGCTGAGGATTCTGAGGCAAGGGGCAGTCCCGAGGAGCCCATAAGACTCAAGTGGGTCAAAATCAAGATCAGGAGAAGCAGTTCAGCTAAGAAAGCCTGAAGGGAGAGGCCATGTGGACCTGCATTTGCCATAGCTCTTTGGTTGCTGGGCCAGTGGGCGTGTGAAAGGAGCCACAGAACTCAGGGCTGCTGGAAGACTCTGGATGTTACGTTTCTAAGCAGAATAGTGATAGGATCAGACCCAAGCTTTTGATGAGGAATTGGGATATGGCTGCATATGATGCAGTAGCATTCTACTATTAACAGAATTCTCACCATTGTCCAATAGTTTATCTGTGCTTGGCTTTACTTTCCATTTTCTATAGTGTTAATTCTGCTTTCTTCAAGTCCCCTGTCCTTGACTCTCAACTGATATCATGTCTTCTTCTAAGCAGTCATCATCATCATTGTTGTCATCACATCATCCTGGCCCTCAGTCTGAATTAATTCTGTGTCTTGTGGCTCACATGTACATATGCCCCTGTGCACACCTGTCACAATGGAAGAGTTCCAACTCCTTTCTCACTAATTCCTCCATGTGTGTTCTATATCCTGTTGCCTTTTGGGTCCAGGGATCACCTTCAATCAAAATTATCTCCTGCAAGTTCAACCTCTAATCCATTGACAGAGTTTTCCCCTCCTTTGCACATGTTTCACCTCCTGTATAGATGTTTCACCTCCTGTGTTCCCACTATTACTGCCCACACAGTTACCTTGACTATATTTCTGCAGAAGATGAGAACTTCTGCATAACCCAAGCCTGTCATTATGAATCTGGGTGACTCTCAACTCCATTTACTTTTGTCTTTTGCTGCTCCGACTTGAAGCCACGAACAGCTTTCCCTTAATCATTGCAGGCACTTGAATCCCTACATCTGGTCTTGCTCTTTTCCAATCCATCCCACTAGCCCAGTGAGCTTGTAAACTGTCAGCTCTGATCATGCATCTTTGTCTAGTAGTGACTGTCAGGAGAGTGTCTGAAAGTCACAGTGTGCTCCAGTTATGTCTCTGGTCTGCCTCAGTTCCCCAGCACTGTCCCAACAGATGCCAGTTCTTGTGCCTGCTCCTTCTTGCTCTCCTTCCTCCTTGGGTGCCTAATATTATATATTTAAGCTGAGCAGACTTTCTGTTCTCCCTTTGTCCCTGCATTTTGTACACAGCATAATTACCCATGGTAAGTGTGTATTCTCCTGGAAAGTCCTGTTGACCTGTCTCAATTCCTCTAGGCTATAAGCTCCTTGACAGCAGGGGCTGTGCCTTGTTTTTCTTTGGAGGAAGTGCTAGGTAGACATTTGCTTAATGAACAAGTGAAGACTTAAAAGGGTAGTTGACTATGGAAAAGGAAATGGTGAGGGAGCATGCATAAGGTTGTAAAAAGTGCATCTTGACTGAGTTCCATGTGATCATTCTTCTTCCTTCCTATCATTTTGAAAGATAAAGTAGTGCTTAAGGAGAGTTACATACAAACCATCTATCTGACTGACTATGACTAAGGTAGGACATGAAACAAAATCAAGGATTGCCTTATTAAATTAACATACCCTTTTTCAAACAAGAAACAGCTACCAGGGTTATTCTGTTATTCTTGTTACTCTTTAGGCAATTATAGACCAATTCTTTTTTTAAAAATCACAGTATTAAACTCTGTGTATTTTAAGATTAAATCTATAAAGTACAACATGAACCTGGATTGTGTATTGCTGTATAATACAGTCAAAAGCCAAAAAAAAAGAAAAAAGCAATGATTAGTCTTTGATTCTAATCTGGTCCCACCACATAATCATGTGTTTTGAGTAGATATAAAAACAGAATGTTGCATTTCATCACTGTCCAGTATGTTCGGAGTTTGTAGCCATGGCTTAAAACACATTTTGCATATAAAAATGAAATAACTTACCTTCCCAATTAATGCATATGGAAGTACTTTTTCCAGTTTTTATTCTTGATTTGAGAATACACATCCTTCAGAAGTTTGAAAAACATATCAGAAATGAAAAAGTCACATGATGGCTAAGAAGATCTATTTTTAAATTAGCAACAGGATAGATTGGTTTTGAACTAATGAGGTATTTAGTGTGAATTCCTTATGAAGGTATTTTTTTGCATCACGGTTTATAAAAGGCATTTAATAAAATTGCCTTTCTTAATTATGATTAAACAGATACATAAAAATAAGGACTTGATATTCTATTCTCTAAGAAATACACTGACTGTTTTGAGGCGACCTCGAGCACTCACTAAGTCTTTCTTTGACAGGGAAAATACATGGATATTGAATTTGACTTCAAAGGTGATCCACTGGGAGGAGTAATAAGTAACTGTGAGTATTTTACTTTAAATAGTTAAGTCTTTAAGGAATAGATACATGAACGCTTCCTTTTCTTGCATTTAGAATTTTAGCCTTTGTACTTCAGATTGCTTTATAATATAATGCAATTTCTAAATCTTTGTTACCTGTGAGAAGCTTCAAAAAAGTCTGCTCTAAAGAAATGTTTGTCCAACTGTTTTTTTACATCATCTTGGTCTTCAACCCAATCCATTATGAAAAAGTTCCTCCAATGGTTATTTTCTTTAACAGAATGTTTTTTTCTGTGATTAAAACAAAACATAAGTAAATTATTTATTTATTTATTGCTATTGAGGATGGAATCCAGGCCCCACCTATGCTAGGCAAGCACTGTGCTACTGAATTATACCTTTAGCCTTAAAACATAAATAATTGCTTTTAAATTAATAGCTTTTTCTGATATCTGGAGCAGATCTGTATTTGACATGTAATTTTGGGAAATTTTGATTCTCTTCCATTATATTTTTAGGTAATTGAAATGTGATACCATTAGGTAAAACAGATTTATTAGCCTCTTATAGACATGATTGTGACTGTGCTGTGCAAGTAAAGTGTTCTCTGTGAAAAGTAAAACAATGAAAGAGATCAGGTGAGCTCTGTTCAGTAGGCCACATCCAGGGTTTTCTGAAGTAGGCATGAGAGCTCCACACCAAGTTGTCAGTATCTGTTACAACTATACCATAGCTGTCAGTGCTTTGGAGCCAAGGTGCCCATGCCACTACCCTGATGTCTCTGTGTTGATTTTGTGACTAATTAGGAAGCTGTGCACACCCAGCCATGCTCTGGTTATTCTCTCGAGTCTTAACAGATGTTTTCAGGACTATAGCACCAAATTTTCTATTGCTTCATCACTCAGAGTGCTGTTGAGGTGGTTAGAATGGAAAAAAAAATTCAGTCCGGAGTAGACAAAAAATGACAGACTTGACTGAAGTATTGAGAGCATATTCATTAAATTGGTTACAACACTGGCTTCCCTTCGAGTGAAATGTTTTTGCTAAACCCCAAATACGAAACAAGTAAAATGAACTGTGTTCTGGTTGAAGAGGATATGAATACACCAGAGCCCCTGCCCTCCAGGGTGCACCCAAGATCTTGCTGATCAGCCCTAGAGCCAGAGGAATGCCGCTTGAAAATTTGTGTGTTAAGTAATTTCAACACACTATACAACTGACTTAAAAAAAAAAATGTCATCATCATTCGTAGAACCCTAGGGCCAGAGTTCTTCATCTTTGAGACAGTGGGAAGGAATTGGATGACTGCTATGGTTCCTTCCATTTTATCATTCTGTAGTTCTCAAATGATTTAATTTCCCATTTTAGTTTGCATCACTGTACACTTTAGTGTGCTATTCATTGGGACTAGTCATATGTGTAAGAATATGTAATTGTTCTTACAATCCCTTGAACAGAAAGTTCTAATATGAAATGAAATTGGATAGGATAATGCTATTTAGGTTAGATGATTTTATATGTCAAATATAGAAGCAGAACTACTCATGCCAACTATGTATGATGTAATCAGAAGCAAGTGATTATAACCTCTGCCAGACTTGACATGCAAACTCCTTTCACAACATCCAGCAGCTGATGAGAGCTATCTAGGAAAAGGATTACCTCAGTTTTAAGACCACCATTTTCAGGAATGATTAATTTTTATTTTGAAAAGTATTGATCCATCTTTAGTGCTTTCTTTTTAACAAGGCAAGTAAACTCATGTTTTTAAATTAATAATACTCTTCTTAAATTGAGCATAAACTTGCTGTTGTTTTTTGTTTCTTTATTTCTTTTTATTTTTTGATTTATCATTCATTAATAATAGGGGATTCCATTGTGATAATTCTATACGTGCATACAGTGTACCTTGAACAAGTCACCCCCTCCATTATATGCCCATTCCCCACTCTTCGTCTTCCTTGTTTTTATTGTAGAACTTCAGCTGAACAGTTCTGGAGTGTCTTAATTGATATTGTTCTTGAGGAATCTAGGAATAATTAGGAATTACTTATTGTAAATATGAGAAAATAGCTTTGGTTTTAAATTTTGAAATTTTCGAAGTTCTAAGCAGAAATGCTTTCCTGCCTCCTAATTCTTGTAGTATCCATGGAGAATAAATACTAAACATTAAGTTCTTTCCTAGTTAAGATTAATGTATCTTCACGAATGAATTTCATATGGTGTTTATTGCTGTCTGTTCCCACAGTGAAATTATATTAAAATTGGTGGTAGTGGGAACACCCTGGTATTAAGAGTGTCCTTTGCTTTGGAGAGGAAAGGAGCACATTAGTGGTGAGGACAGGAAATTTCATCTTGTGAAGATGGAGGACTGACTCATATGTGGCCACTGGGAATGCTGCCTGCTGGCTTAAGTGGCTGTAAAGCAGTGGGTAAATCCACTAGTGTTCTCTCTATGCTACTAGAAGTTAGCTTCTTGTAACCTGGTAGAAAACACAGATTTGCCATTTTCTAGGAAGTATATGTTGCCTCCTTTTCCAGCAGCAACCTAGTAAAAAACACAGATTGCTGTTAGCTAAAATTATTATCCTGAAAGTGGCCTGAAATACCTGCAGCTAGTTGTATACCCAGGAAGTGGAAAGAGAGGCCAGTAACTCATCTCTCTTTCTAAAACAGGCATGCTACACAATTTAAGTCTGGAACTCATTTGAGAGTTACTTATACCTGAGGTTAGTGTCAGTAGGAGAGAGGTGTTACTAAAGTAACGTTTGCTCCACTAGAGAAGATAAAATGTGGAAGCATATCCAGAGGTCCACATGATAGGAAATGGCATTTTTTCCTGCTTTATTATGGCTTGTTGGTTTTCCTGTATTTATGCATTTGTATTTGAAGATTTTCATATCTAGCATTATAAACTGGGAACTTTGAGAAACTTGTTGTTTTAATACTCCTAGGCAGCTTTTATCTGTGTAGTTGGTGACAATTTAGACTGGGGAAAATATGATATAAATCTGAAGGGATTTTTGCCTGCTAAAAGAACAGCACAGTGAGCTATATGCTATGAAAATACTTTATGATTTCAAGTGAGCTATATAATCTATGTAAACTAAGGACAAGAAATAAGGCTACTCAATTCGTATCTCTAGCCCTTTGCCGAAATATATACTCTATAAGGACATAGACTTAGTTTGGTTTATTGCTGAATGACCAGCAGCTAAAATGTGTTTTACGTTTGATATATATATGTGTGTGTGTATATATTATATATATATACACACACACATATATATGAATTAATATCACAAAAGTAAATATATACAGTTGAGAAATTTGTTGAGAAGTAAAGCTCCTGCTTTATTGGGTAATTTTATTGGCATATTCTGTGCTGCTCATTTTAAAATAGTTTAAAATACTTTGTTTAAATTCCAGAAAGGCAAGCAAAATTATTGATAGTCAAACTTCATCTGTCGCTATCTTTTTTGTTTCAGCTTGGGGAGGAAAAAATTAGATCTTGTGAATTCTGAAGGGAGGCAGATGTTGAAATGAGTGTGCGTTCCAGTTAATCTTGACACCTAACAACTCCCCAAACTTAGAGTGTAAAATAACAATCCTTTCAAGTGTTCTGAAGGTTCTGTGGGTTAAGAATTTAGATGGAACACAGCAAGGTTGGCTTGTCCTCACCATGTGTGGGGCTTCAACTGGGAGCAACTTACAGGACTGAAGATTGGAATTCTCCGGAGGCTTTGTCATTTTGCTTCAGGCCTTGGCTGGGAGGATTCTGAGGATGGAGCACTTAACACGTGTCCTCCCGTGTGGTTTGAGCTTCTTTTAGCATGGCAGCTAGGTTCAGTTGTGACAGTGCATGTTCCAAGAGATCCTGAAGGAATCCTGAAGTAGCCTGGGAAGTCATGTGATCTGTACTGTTCAGTCAAAGTAGGCACAAGCATGTACACTTTCATAGGTAGGGAATGGAACCCTCCTCTCAAAGTGTCAAAGAATTAGTAAATATCATAAACAGTCACAATCATAGTTTTCAGAAACAGCCATGATAATTTCTCACCCTGTGTCTACACCCTTGGGTAGTCAGCCCTCTCTCTTGCTGACTCAAGGCTTGGCCATGAGATTTGTTTTAGTCAGTGGAAAAATTAGCAAATATAGCATAAGCAGAGACTTGAAAATTGGTTACATATTGGAGTTTGCCCTCTTGCTGCTCTTGGGATCTCTCGTCACTACCTTGTGAACAACCCTGGGCTTGAGTGCTGGATGATGAGAAGCACACAGAATGAACTGTCAGACATATTCATCTGTTATCTAAGGTCATTTTAGGTCAGTTCCTGGCACACTGCCAGCCTATGAGCAAGCCCAGCAGAGTCAGCCAAACTGGCTCAGAGCCATGAGCTAATAAATGGTAGTGTTTTAAGCTACTGAGATTTGGGGTGGTTTGTTACACAGCTCAAACTAACTGACACAGGGGTCTGATCATTTTCTTCACCCAGTTTTGGAAATGAATGTAAAATAGACATGGAAATCAAGTTGGAGAGGAAGCGGCTTTATCACTATAAAGGCAGGGTTGAAGAAAGGGGCTTTGGTTGATCACCCAAACACAGAGGTATGCTAGTAGTCTCTGGCAGTGGTAGTTTGGCAGTCATTGACAGCACTAAGCACCTGCAGCCTCTCCTTGTGTGCATTGCTCCATCTGTCTCACAGCATTGCAGTGTAGCGAATCCAGAAAGGTGCAGCCCTGTGTGCATGACCACCTCCTCCAAACCTCACTGTGCTGGGAGGAATAAGGGACTAAGAGAGGCTGGGGAATTACTCTAAGGAAGAACCTTCCACAGGCAAACAGGCAGCAGAAGGAAATGACCCCTCCCTTCACAGGGAAGGTGGGGGACAGAGCAAATTGCTCCTGACTCCTTTTCTTTTATAGCTCTTTGGAATTTATGATACAATTGTGTCATGCTTTTATGTGCTGTCTGTTTCATGGCGCATTGTTTCATCTGTATATGTGGCACACTCAGGCCA